CGGAAGTATTGTATGTTGTATCGTATTAGTCGCTTTTTTTCCATGGGTACCCTCGTACCTCCTACTCCGCCCAGAAGTCGTGGAAACGTCTCAGAACTATTCCTTGTACTACACTATGGTATAGATCCCAATTGCACAACCAAAGGAAGAAGAACAGGCCAAAACAAAATGCAGCAATTATCAGGAAGATTAGCACTACCATTGTAAATGTTTATCTGCTCCATACTTCTCGAAAATTCGAGAAAAGTGAGAATTCCAAAGCGACGTGCAGTCGAATTCATGGAGCTCCTGTGTGAAAAACAAGTTACGTCTTGCAGTTTCGCGGACATCGCAAAAGTCCTGAACAATACCCAGGACATCACGGTCGATCGTTTCAGCAAGGGCTTTGCTGCACTGCTGTTGTCTTTCAGACTGGTTTACTGGAAACCATCGAAGCACGGCAAAGGCCTCCTCTGGTAAATCTATTCCATTGTGCTTCAACATATTGTACATATATTCTGGACCTGTCCATAAAAGTGCAGCATCATAGTTTCCAAGCCCATCATGTCTGATTCTTCTGTCTGCAACAATAATGTTCTTGTTGTTCGCTGGAGTTTCACCACTCGCACATTGGAGGTTTGGATGCAATGACCTAGCTGGGTCTCCTCCGTTGGATCCAATCAAAACAGATTGACTACAAATAGTCCAATCATATCCCTCTTCCATCGTTTCTTTAGCAACATCAGCATCAATAAAGCGTAGAACTGTCGCAAGACCGTGACTAGAACAAGCAGTGAGGGAAAAGGAGGAAGTGAACTGATAGGAACAAACGAACGAAAGCGTACATTAACCCAACTAGCTGAAACCAATCTGGGAATTCAGCGCGCCGACTTTCCTCTGCAGTTGCATACTGATTTGATGATGGTTCGACAATGGATGGCAATGTCAGATACTTTTCTTTCATTACTCTTGAAAGGCATGTACCATCTGATGTCACTTACCAAAAGGCTGCACAATGACCGATCACATCTTTCCTCCCCAAACTCATCTGCTTGAATACTACCGGCCAAATCCAGCGCCTCTTTCAGAGTCAGCCGCCCAATGTCAAAGCGGAAATATCGTTCCCGCTTTCGAAGAATGTATTCCCTGGTCTGGAATGATGAAAGGTGGAGATAATGCTGCCGGCGGGCAGGTGAATCCTTAACGCAGACAAGGCTCCGTTCGCAGTTACCAGTTTGCCAGTAAGACGGCTTTTCCGAACAAATAAAAGATAGTTGAACTGGGTCTATGCCCAAGTATTGCCCACTTCTTGACTTGATAATACATAAACTCTTCGATTCGCAGTGAAACTTTGTTTTCGATGCTTGAGTTTCAGTCGTTTGCTGAAACAAAAATTGTGATGAAGGCGTGCTTGTTCCATTTGTTACAGTACACCATCTGTCGTTCCCAACTGCCAATAAACGCCCATTTGTCGACCGAAACTCGAATAAATTTTCCTCTATTTCCAATACGAACCAGTCCAAAGGAATTGATTCGCCCAGTAACTGTGCACGTTCGTGGTGCGCTGAAAAGAAGTCCATGGGCAAAAAGTTAGCCCATGTACATGCAGAAGGGCTCGTCCTTTCAAACGACTGTTCCAAAAGTGTGATTTGCATCGGGACCTTCCGATATGTCTCTCCATCATTGTTGTTGATATAAGAAATCTTTGCATTAGGCTTCACATGACAGCCACAACTTCTATAGAAGTTCACAAGCTTGTCATGTCGACGCACATCTTCTTCTGCATCCAAGGAACATTCAACAAAGAAGTCATCTTTGTTCGTTGAATCTTTTGTTTTCAAAGCATCAGTTTTAGCTTCCGTCAAGTAACGATTACTGAGCGACACCACTGCCATAGAAAACAAGAGACTTCCGAGCCCATATCCTCTGTACGCTTCCTTGACTGAGAGACTATGAATCTTTGCGCAAACAGAAGTGCTTGAATTCTCGTTTCTCCTCTCAGAAGAAAACACAATTTTCGCAACAGCACCTCGTTGACTGCTGGAAAATACCAGAAATCTCTCTTCCCCATAGTGCTGAGCAAGGATGCCGCCCAATCGTTGCTCGATGCGAAAGCTGCAAAATGATTCCTTCATGGAAGAATGCTGTCGAGGCGGAACAACCCTGCATGTGGTTGGTAAGTTATCATTCTGTTCTCCATAACCAAACAGTTCGGCTAAACCGATGCGACTGCGTTCTGATATGTCGGTCCGTGGCCTCTTTCTTGATGTTCCAGGCGACATCGTGTTTTGATCTTGAGAAGAATTGCGGTGTGAAGAACACCCCTGACAATCAATCAATGTGTCACAGGGTTCAAACATTGAGTGATTTTGCGGGATTCATTCATTCGATAGACAGATTTTCGCGCACAAAACGCGCATATCACTCATGCGAACGAGTGAGTCCGTCCATCGATAGTCGTCTGTTTGATGGCCGTTGCTGAACGTCTGCACCCCAACGGCTAACGTATACAAATTTCGACTGTGAGTGATCGATTGAAAGAGGATGGATGCAATCGACCACATCCATAGAACTTGAAGGATGATCAAGGCTATTTTCATCTGGTTCTCACTAATTTTTGTATGCGCGGCATTGTCTGCTACTTCTGGTTCTGGAGCCACTGAGCTGGAACGCGTTCGAACTCAACTGGGTTACGTACCGACAAACTTTATTTCTGTCTCTGCTTGGAAATCTGATTTACAACAACCCATTGCAATACGGACTTATCCATTGAATGGAGGTGCTAAACGACGTCAATCAAAGGCCGGAGTACCTGGTCAGGCAGTGAATTCTCCTTTCCCAACATTGTATTGGCTGACTTGCCCTGACATATCCAAGGCGATCGCCGACCTTGAAGGACGAGGGTATTTGAAAAAAATTGAAGCTTCCATAAGGGAGAGTTCAGAGCTGACGAATAAACTTGTGCAATGTCATATTCAGTATGCAGAGGAACGATGGAATAGTTTGACGGAAAAAGATCAACAATTACTATCAGATTCAAACAATCCATCGATCGAGAGAATGCGTATTATGATGAGAGATTCGGGAGTCTCGGGGACAAACTTTACTATGTACACCGAAGGAGTCGGCACCGAGATGCCTTCGATCAAGTGTTTACATGCTCATTACGCCCACTATGTTAGCACAAAGGACACACTAGAATTTCCAAATCCAGTGGGTGCAATGGTGCATGAAGCCTTACAGAAATGCCATCCAGAGGTGGATCTATAGATTCATTTCCTTATCTGGGGGTAGAGCTTGCTCCATGAGAAACTTTGTGATTTCATGAGGTTCTGTAAGTTGGAGATATTGTTTGGGCAACAATCACTTCATGTACGAGGCCACTATATCTCCCTCGAACGATGATTTGTTGGCGGCTTTGTTTGTATCTGTACTGATGGTAAAGAGAATTTAGGCAACAATGCGTATTGTTTGATTAGAGAGATGCTGCTACAAGTATGGCTACATAAGATGGTCTGACGGTGGGATAGAATAAAGAGAGCTAACATACTGGGATGATGAACCTAAAAGACTTTTCGAAGTACCGTACAACAAGCCTGATGCAACTTATGCTGTCGAACAGTAGCAAGTAAAAAATCTGAGGCAATTAATGATAATACAGATGATCTCCAACCCCCTCCACACTTAGAAGATGGGCGATAAGACACTTGCGATGAGAACACCAGCCCAGTGAAACAAGAATGCCGGGAGAAGGTAGAGGTAAACAAAAATGGCCGGAACGACGTATTTTCGTATCAGCTCACCAATAACATAGTTCTGCATTCGATGGATAAAGGATAGCCGCATGCATCTGACATGGTTCAAGTCTTCGAAATGATGGGCGAATTCATCGGTCGAAGCGCTCACCAATTCGACGCAGAGTTGCCAAAAAAGCAAGTTGCGTAGTGATTTAGACCTCCAAGATGCAATATTGAACCAATATACCGCAAAGTGTGACAAGCAAATGAACGGTGAGCTCGTTGGGTGCACCGCTTTGAACGCTTGGAAACTCTGATGGACCACGTCGAAGACTGAGATCTGCGAAAAATACCCATTGTGATTTGTAGAAAGGTACATGTAAATCGACATGATAAACAAGTAAATTGCGTTGTTGCGATATTGATCCTGCTGATGCTTTGTCCCAATCTGATTGTATGTGAGGTAACATATCAGAGCAATCAGAACAATTGCACGGTCCCAATCAACTCGTTGCACGAGAGCCGAGAATGTCGGGTACTTCAGTACACCAATAAATGTTAGAGATGCATGACGATGTTCGCGATCACCGATATAATTTGAAGCGATGCATCGCAATGGGAACTCTGTAACAACTCCTTGCAGCTTTCCAAGGCAGTGTTCCTGAAGCTCAGCATCGTTTTCGCTGTAGATTGCAGAGCACAGGTCGACTGGTGAAGGGTGTGATGACGCGTTTTGAGGAATCAGTGCTAGACCATGCATTGGGGAATAAGACCAGGAGCGTCCTTGAATGGTGTCCTTGACATACTGAGGCGTAATTATGTCAGGATTCACTCTACCTTCGTACAAGGCGGACAAGAGACCTCCAGAAACCCATGGGACGAACCTTCCCTGACAAGCACTCCCTGTGTAGGTGAATTCGGAAAAGTATACTTCATGGTCACTCGCATAAAGGTCGATACGCGTGATTTGGTTTGGCAAGCGTTTGCCAAGCTCATGGACGATATTTCTCATCTTGTCCCACGCCCCGGGTTTTGCAATCGGAACAGAACAATGTTCGGTCAAATACGTCATAGCATCAAGCATTTGGAAATCCTCAGTATAGAAATTTCTTTGAGTCACCTTGCTATTGTTCTGTTTACACTCCATGGCCACAAAGACGGGAACTCCGGACGAAATATACCACTTGGTGACATCACGGAATTCACTCATGTTCAATTGTTCCTCCAAGACTACGGCTGGTTCGATGAATTTATACTGTGTCTCCTTCCCCCCCTTTCCCCTCATTCTAGCATTTAGCATTCCGTTCAAAATACCTCGAAATCGTTCCGTTTTCCCTTCTTCCAGCGGAATTGGCTTCTTCCCAAGCCCTCCACACATCTTGAAACAAGTGAATGTTCCGTTGACGATTCTGGCAACCCTCCCTGACATGTGGGACACCTTCATGATGCTCCCTTCTGGCATATCAGATATGCCAAATGTTTTTGTGTGCGATTTGTTGAAAACTGCAATAGTACGAACAATCTTCATATCTGGAATGTCCCATTCTGTGACGATTCGTTTCGCAGCCACCTTGTCCACCAACGGCGCAAGACTACGGCCCCAATCTCTGTTCGACAAGAAGTGGTTCCTACAGTATTGTTGATAGGACTCATTCTGAGCCCACATGATATATTCTGAGCCTTGGTTCTGGTGGTGCCGCAGATCCAGAGTTCCGAACTCAAGAACCTCTGCATCTATGTTCACTATTTTAAAGAATATTCTTGCCTGGTGTGCTACAATTCCAAGCAACAGCAGAACGAGTATGCGGGAGAAGTCCTTCCGGCTGAGCACTCTGGATCGATTCATAGCATTCCTCTTGAGCAGCTGGGTTTGTATAGCATGCTTTGTGCTATGGACAAGAAGCTAAAAGCGGTTGCTCCTATGCTCGCTTGTTTGTTTTATGTTATACTACTGTAAATTACAGTATTTGATGGAATATCTTGCGACGGAAGCAGGACATACGGAAGAATATTTAATTAATTTGATGGTTCGTATTATTTTAATTTGGCAAATGCAATATGATGATTATAATCACTCATGGTCATGGAGGATGCGGTGGGACAAGAGAGGGTAAAGTTAGAGTTTGCTTCACCGATGGAAGCTCGATTCTTCTTCTAGTTGTTTGTGTGTTTCCTTTTGTACCGCGTTTGTTAGCCACCAGGGTTTGGGTACAATGCGACAAAGAGACTTGAACACGGAAAACAAATTTTGAGCAACATAATCTATATCTTAATTTCCAGTGGATGTACAACGCAACCTGGGCGTTTGGCGCAGTTGGTAGCGCGTCTGCTTAGCATGCAGAAGGTCGCCGGTTCGATTCCGGCAATGTCCAACAGACGCCAAAAGAGGTTAGAGTCCTCTGTCACCTTTTTTGAAACTTTTGCCTCGGGCATCGTTATTCTGTTAAATCAGGCACCTCTGCTACCGGTATGTTATAATATCAGGTACCTCTGCTGTGCTTTTTCTTATCTTTTTCTTATATATGATGCACCTTCGGCGCGGCGACCGATTGGCTGCATGGCTTCGAATGCACAGCTACCAATGTGCCAGCCTCATGCTGCTACTTTACTACCAGGCTCGATCCTTAGGCGATGTTCTGTTCATTTAGACGTTATCATCACCCTTTTTGAAAGCTCCATCTTCATTTTCTATTGATATATTTTCTCCTGCCACCAGAATTTGACAACCTTGCGGCATAGAACCTATTCCAAATGACAAGGTACTACTAGAGAGTGCCATACTAGTCCATTGCAGCGACAACATTACGAAACGAAACATCGACACCATCCCTTTTAATACAGTATGGACTCCCGCAGCACAAACCAAAAGAAGAATAAGAAGCCAGTGAGAAATGCTGCTGGTATTTATTCCCCATAGCGTACTTTCTTTACTACGGGACCTGAACCCGTGTGTCCTGAACAATCGTCCTCTTCCTGGTGAGGAAGAGCGATTTCATTCTCATCTTCTGCGACATCCTTTGTATTGCCAATCGATGGTTCATTGCCAATCTTGGTTTCCTTTTCATCTGTGGTGGGATCCTTCTTGCCCTCCACTGGTGGTATTGCGGCTTCGCCGCCATTCTCTTCCGACATGTCATCAATCTCAATCTCGTTTTCGTCTTGAGCACCGTTTTCATTGTCTGATATGTCATCAATTTCGATCTCGTTCTCATCCTCAATATTCCCATCAAGAAGTGACGATGAATCAAATGGGACTGTGATGAAATGTTCAAGATCAAGTATCGACAAGAGCGTATCAGTTTGAGGGTTTCCCATTGCAGGGAACGGCCGACATCTTCCTTGGAACATGGGATGTGAGTAGATAGGAACTGTGCGAGAAAAGTTTGTTGGGATACGCAGACTTCCATTGTGCTCTACTATCCTCTCTCTCACCCATTTTGCGTCCTCTACTGATACCTCGATGGGCTGGGATGGGACTGAAACTGGTCGCTTTTCCTTGCATGTCAGGTGATTGGTTTTTCGGACAATCGCCAGCCACTCGGGATCATATTCGAACTGAGCTTCCCCCGAATGAGTGCCGACGGGAATGTGTATCACAGACAAATACTGTCGTCTCGGTAAGCACTTGTCCAGAGCCAGAAACTTAGTCATTAGTTCCGTCAGATCAGGGCCGTTACAATTTTTGTTGGATTCCAGCCCATGAAAGGTAGTTTCTTCTTCAGCAACAGCCGATTCTTCGTCGATTTTCTGGGCTACCTCTGCATTATTGTTTGCTAAATCCTTTTGGGCCACTTGAGATGGTACTAGTTCTGCAGTTTCGCTCTCGTTCGAAGTCTTGGCTTCCCTTCCATGAACAACTATTGCTTCAAACTTGACATGCAAATGGGCAGAGAACCATCTTTTTGGCTTTATCGTAAACAGAATATCTTGATTGGCTGGGCTACCAAGCTCATTCTGTTCCACTTCCTGACGAAAGAAAGGTTTCTTGCGGAGCAATTCGTTTGCATTGCCATGCTGGTAGATGCCCAGTGGCCAGTCATGACTAACCATGACGTCCAATCTTTCTTCGGAATCTTGGAGACATTTCATTCGGTAGACATCCACGTTGCGAACGTGGTATACACTCCGCAGCGTCGATCTATCATAGGGTGGACTTTCTGTTGGTGATTGTGGATGTGAAGGGTTAGGAGTTTGGACAAATCACTGCAATGAGTCATGAGGATGAATAGCTTACCATATTGCCCCATCTTGAAATCATGACTTTTGTATATTCCACTGATTCCACCAATTCTCAAGCCACCATATCTTACCACCCCTGCGGCTCCTAGATAGTATATGTTAGGAGCAACCCAACCTCCCAAATACAATTCACGCAAGGGCTGTGATGCCTCATGGTTACCACCAATGAACAGTGTTAGGATGGGAGCTTTCTTTTCCTCTGCATAGTATCGAGGGAATGTTCCAAGGCGACGATACTTTGGTGGAATGGATGAGCTGAGAAAGTCGCCAGCATTTCGATGAGATTGAAAATCTCCGCAACAAATTAACAAATCAATTCGTTGGCCAGTCTTCTTCTGATGGTCTTCGATTCGCTCGTAAATTCGGTCGAGTTCTCCATGACAACAACCTTCTACTGCAATCGATATCGAATCAGTAGATGGCTCGCCAATCTCCTCAATTTTGTCAAAGGAAACATCGACGTTGCCATAACTTCTACCTCTGCCTCTGCCTCTGCCTCCTCGTCCTCTACCTCCTCTTCCACCACGGCCACCTCTTCCGCCCCGACCCCGTCCTCTGCTATGATTCCGATGATTCCGATTGCCTCCTCTGCCATGAAACCTTCCAGCTTGTGGCATGGGAATAAAATCCGACATGATGTATTGACTCTGGCTGTCTCGTTTTGCCGGACGGAACGAAAGCGAAATGAAACGAAATAAATAAATCAAATAAATGCCAATTGCGGTGTTTACGACCCAACCGACTAAAGCAACGAAAACTTCTGACACTCCACCGGCCTCAAAAGATAGACATGCAAGCATCAATACCATTACTTACTTCCTACGCTCGCCCAGCGTTGATTGTAATATGTGGTATGCTGCTTTTCAATCTGCCCACACTGATATACAAGTCCCAAATGTTCTTGCGAGGAGTGGCCTACATTCTCCTTTGCAACGACAAGTCCTGGAAGAAACCAGATGATCCAAGTCTGGTAGTGGGTCCATTGCTCGAAGACTCCTCGAAGATTGAGCGCAAGACGGTCTATTTTGTACGCCACGGGGAGTCTACCTGGAATGATACATTCAACAAAGGAAGTCATCGGAGTTGGTTCACCTTTATCCTTGGGTGGTATCCTGGACTCATTAAAGCGGTCCTATACGAACTCTACTTGTTTCTCGCTGGAAAGCTTGATAGTTGGTTCTACGATGCACCATTATCCAACTTAGGCATTAGGCAAGCAGAAGATCTCTCCAAATTTTTGAATGAACAGCAACCACCGAAAGAGCAATCATCGTTCGGCGACCGAGAAAAGTTTCACTTGTCGGTCTTGACTGCCCAACCAGGATCTCCTCCCAGCAAACTCGTATGTTCCAACCTGCGGCGAGCCATATCCACAGTAGCAGCAGCCTTTCAAGATCGGCTATCTAGAAGGTGAAACTATAATTTTTGTATGCTTCTGCCGACAAGATTGTGTCATCGAGGAATCTGTTGTATTCCGACGAAGCCAAACATTGCTCTCACCCCGCCTTGTTTTGTCTATCGTAGGCCTCAGGAAAAGATCCTTATCATTCCAGTTCTACAGGAAATAAGGTAAGTGAATTTAGTTGATTGTGGAAGAACGCGCAATAGTGATACGACGACGTTCCTAATCGCAGAATCGTCATCATCATCTTCTTCTTACACCCTTTTTATATAGTCGTAACCCGGACGCACTTTCCCTTACTCCTGCCCATGCTCAGATCCATGCTTCTTGGATGGAAAAGACTTCTACCGTTTGCGATTTCCAGAACATCTTCACCAACCAAGTAGACATGAGCCTACACAGTGGCAACAAACCCATTGGTACCAATGGGCTGAAACGAATGAATCTGTTTTGTGACTTTTTGTTTTCACCTTCCGTTACGGAAGACTATGTCATTGTGGGAGGACATTCTCTGTGGTTCCGATCCTTCTTTCAAACGTTTTTGCCTTATACTACGATCCATGCCTCTCAAAAGAAGAAGATTGTCAATGGTGGAGTGGTTGCCTTTGAATTTGTCAAGGCGAATACCAAGTATGGACCAAGATATATGATTGATCCCAAGAGTATTGATGTTGTGTATGGTGGTTTTCATTAAAACGAAATGAAACTGTACGAATAGTAGATGTACAGTAGGACCAAAGTACGCGGAGTGTAGTATTTATTTATTATTCCTATTACTATTACTGTATTTCTTTGCCTTTGATATAAATGTGTAGCCAGATCGCTTTCAGTGTATCTCGACTAGTGTGGACGAGAGATGAATGAATGAACATACGTATGCAGATCAACAAAAGACTGAAGTCAGTTAGACTAGCAGCATGTTTGTTGTATTCGTAAAAGTTCCGTCGTGTAAAGTACTTTTAGCGCCATTCTGTAGTCATGTGTTTAGCTCGACCATCGACCACCATGTGAATCACTAAAACCCTTGCCATGTTCCAAATTGTCTTGCACTGTTTTGCGTCGCACCGCTCTCATGCTATGTAACTTTTTGATATCGAATTCTTGGTCGTCCTTTCCCCCTGGTACTAGTTGCGCCTGTTGCACCTTTTGGGAATAATCCAAACCAGTAGCATCCAGGTCCCCAGGTGGTGGTGGCATGGCACCCACTTGAAAAATGGGATGGAGTTTGTAGACTTGTTCTTTACCAGTCGAAGAGGCAAAGAGAAACATGCCAAAGGCACCCCCACCTAGTACCGAAAGCATCATGGTATTTCTATTGAAACTAGCTTTTGTGATACCTAGTTTGCGGGCCCATTGTCCTGCCGTGTGTAAAACTAGACCAGATCCCATTCCAAAGACTGCGGGTGGAGAGTGAAGAAGTGTAAGATATGAGTGAAGATGAGAAATCAATCGACGAATGAATGAATGAATCAATGATCCATCCTGGACCATCAGGTCAGTCACTTACAACCACCCTTCAGTGCGTTAGAGTAAATGTCCCGACGAAGTGCTTGCAAGGTTTCAATATCATTATTGGAAAGAGTGTCTGGTGGATAGAGTCCTCGTGTCATGATGATGATTATAGTTCGGTTTTGGAAAATTGATTCTCAAAAAGAAGAGACTTGAGAATTCGAATGAAAGTA